TGTTATCCCAAATGGTTTAGATTGCATTCATTTTTATAACTAATGTTTCATATATATACATGCCATATTTTCTTCATCTATAGGTGGACACTTAGGTTGCTACTGTATATTGGTTATTGTAAATAATCCTGCACTGAACATAGGTTTGCATATATCTCTTCAAATTAGTGTTTTTGTTTTCTTCAGATAAATACGCAGAAGTGGGATTGCTGGATCTATGATAGTTCTATTTTTAATTTTTTGAGGAACCTCCATACTTTCTTCTCCATAGTTATCCATCGTGGCTCTATAGAATACCCACCTTTGTCTTTTGTTAACAGTCTTTCTCTTAAATTCTATTTTATCTGCCATAAATATTGCTACACCAGCTTTCTGTTTCCATTTATGTGGAATATCCTTCCCTATCCCTTCACTTTCAGTCTTATGTTGCTTTCAATCTGAAATGAGTCTCTTGTAGGCAGTGTATAGATGAGTCTTCTTTTTTATTCATTCAGCCACTGTGTGGTTTTTGATTGGAGCATTTAGTCCATTTACTTATAAAGTAATTATTGACAAGTATTTACTTAATTGACATTTTAATTGTTTTCTGGTTGTTTGTATAATTCTTTTTTGTTTCTTTTCTCTTTATTGGTTCCCTTGTGCTTTGATGGTTGAGCATATTTGTGACCATTACTGTAAACTATTATCTCCATTTCATGGGATTTTTTTTTCTGAGGTTTCATCTTGTTTCATTTGGATTATATTCCTCTGTCTCCTCATTTTGTTTGAATTTTTTAGTTTGTTTCTATGAGTTAGTCTGGAACAGCTGTCTCTTCTTTTGAAGGAGTGCCCTTGTCTACGAATGTGCCCCATGTAGACTGCTTGTGCCTGGCAGCTTTGGCTGGCTGGCTGGCTGGAGTAGGTGTGGACTGGGAGTTTCCAGGATGCTCAGTGCTGGGACTGTCCTGGCTGGATGGCTGGAGCTAGAGTGGGCATGGGCTGGGGGTGTCCTGGTATGCTGTTGAGCTGGGAAAAGTCCTGACAAAACAGTTGGTTGTGATGCAGTCTGAGGGGGTCCCTTGTGTACTAACTGAACTGGGGCTGTCTTGGTGGGATGCCTGTAGCTGGGTGGGCTCAGTTGGAGGGCTGTGTTGAGGGGATGGCTGGAGCTGGTATGGGCTGCGGGTCCTGGGCTCACTGGGGTGGCTATAGCAGGCTAGCTAGAGTACCTGAGTCCTGTTACCATCACATTGTCAAGGTGGAAGTGGAACATAAGCAGTGGTTCTCCCAACCCAGAGAGAGTTCCAGTAGTTCCCCCACTGTCTGGCAGAACTCTAGTTAGTAAATGGATTTCCTTCACTAGTCTAGTTCCTGTTTAAACCTGTGGGGTTTTTTGCTGTGACCCAGGGTCCCTCCATGTTAAGACTCCCTACTTGCAGGTTGTTGCATTGGAGGGAGGTTCCCATCCTCATGGTGTCTCTGTCTACTACTCCTCTCTGTGTGGTCGCTCTATCCCTTGTGGTGGTGTCTTGTGGCATAGAGGCTGTTCAGTCAGCCTTCAGTTCTTCTGCATGAGGAATTACTCTGTGTGCAGGTGTAGATTTGGTGTCTCTGTGGGAGGAAGTGGGTTCAGTATCTAACTATGCCACCATCTTGGACCACCTCCCAGAAAAACCATTTCCATAAGAGAATTTTATCACATCTCTGTCCATGATTGAGTATGGAGAATATTTGAGCAACAAAATCAACAATTTAATCTAATGGATGTATACTTGGAACACTGAACCCAGCAACATACATATTCAAGGACATATAGAACACACAACATTTTTGCCATTCAAAAAGTTCATTTCATACAGACCTGTTCTCTGACCAGAATTCATTTTAAGAGTTAAAAACCAGTAAATTAAAAACCTTTATAGTTAGGAAATCAGAAAATCCTAAATAACTCATTAGTTGAATTATAATATGCAAATGAAAATCTATTTAGAGTTGGTAATGAAAATATATCAAAATTTGTGGTATGCAGCTAAAGCAGTGCTTACAGGGAAATTTACAATCTGAAATTCTTATGTGAGAAATGAAGAAAGGTTGAAAAAATAACAAGCTGATTGTTATTATTAGAAAAGAATAAGCCCTAGAAAACAGACTGAATAAAGATTGGGCACAAATGAATGGAAGAGAAAGAATATTACAAGAAAGAAGTAGAACGATTTTATTTACTATTTCATACTAATTGCCCATTCCCCTTTGTGCACCTCTGTGAGGTCATCATTGGTTCCGAAGTTATCTTAGCCCCTGCTCAGCTTCTCTTGTTGATCCCCGTACTTCAGTAGAAGGCGTCTTGGGCAGATCTTTTACTTTAAAGAATAGCATAATACCTTACGTTTGAATATGTTAAGTTGTGCCTTGTTCATCATAGACTCAGTCTTTGAACTTTATTATTTCTTAACTTTTAAAAACTCCAGACTTCTTTATTCTTCTGCCTTTTCTGTTACCTTTGAGAATTACTACTGTTTTCTCTCTATACTAACAGATGTGGTTTTTGCCCAACTCTAAATTCTGTAGTTTGTATTTGAAATCAAAGAGGTTTTGCAGTTTTATAAATATACTCATAATATTGTATATACTTTTAAAACCATATATTGCCTGCCCTTTCTAAAGTCCTTTCTCAGATGAAAATAATTGGCCCTCATTATTGTCAGACTTTATGCTTACATAACATACATGTAGCAGGGAAATTACTAGACCACTTCCCCTTGTTTTATTTTTCAGTATTTCAGTACTGGTAAGAGTGAGGTATCTGTTCTAAATTAGAAATATTGACAAGTATTGCCAGATAGCCATCTGGGACATGAAGGAGAGTCAGATTCTTCTGGTCTTTTGATTACTTCCATTATGTAAGTTTTTTTTAGAAACTGCTTAAATTCCTTCAGTCTACCATGGCACTGTTTAATACAATGCAATAACTTATTACTGAGTTTTGTTTATTTAGCTTTTGTGCTACTTCTCTGAAAAGTACATTGGGCAGTGAAACAACCCAATTTAACTTTATTTTTGTGTGAAGAGCTGTGAAGGGTCTGAGATTTTATCCTACTTGTAAGCTTACTACAGGACAAGTTTCACAAATGCTTGCATAAGACACAATACTCCTGGGTCAGAGGCAAAGGACAGAGTATTTCTTACAGCAACAGAAATAGCCAAAGCAGCAGTGTTGGTACCAGTTCCTTGGGCCTCAGTTTTTATAGTGATACATCGAGGACTGGGTGACATCTGAGTCCATACAAGGAGTCGCTGTAGGAGAACTCTGAACTTATGTAACCTGAATCTTTTGTAATAGGCAGTAAACATGTCTACCTTTTGCTTTGGAGGCAGAAAATCTCTCTATATATACAAACATCCTTGAAAAGATAGTCTGCAGCAGAGGCAGTTAGTATTTCTGCTTGGAAGATAAGCAGAAATAGCAAGAGAAATATGAAGAATTGTCTTTCAACACTTTGGAAGGTAGTAAAACCAAACGGGTTATTTGTAAGGTAGACCTAAATAAGTGACCTGTAGATTTTAGATTGCAGAGGATTGCCTAAGAAATTTTATCCTAGAAAGTAGTGATATTTTTACATATATCCTCAATTCCTTCTGTGGAACCCTTTTCCCAGTTAGCCTATCTCAAGAGATCACTATGAATATTAGAATCACACCAGTAATTTCCTGAGGAAGATTACTATCAATCTATTTACTGAGTGTCACTGATTTACTGAGTGTCACTGTACTATTCATTCTGTTTTTTCTTAGCAGTACAGTTATCCAACACTGTCCTTGTGAGTTTGTATCTGCCTTACTTAAGCAGTGCTTCTGCTTCTCTTTTTAAAAGTTTAAATAAATGAAAGTAAGTAAAATGACAGTTACAGTATCATTTTAATTTAGTAAAAATTCACTGAGATAAAAGACATAAAAAAATGGTGGAATTCATTGGTGTCCCATGGCAGGTTCATATAGAGAGAGAGACTGGCTTTCAAAGACGTCTCTGAGACTAAAATTCTTTGAAGTGGAACTTCACTGGTCACTGACACACAAATGTAACACTTCATTAAAAACACTCTAAGGCAAAGGGTAATAGGGACTCGGCTGCCCTTTAGACTAGAGGTCTTTGTCACAGATCAGAGCCTGTAAATCTGGCAGTGTTGTTGGGATTGGCAGCCGGGAGAGGGGGACCATGCTGGTTGGGACACTCAGTCCTGTTAGTGTCTAAATTCCAAGCAAGTAGCAAAAACAAAGAACTTGCATCTTTAATTTCCAGGTCAGCGTAATCTCTTCTAAGTTAATTTTGATCTAAGTTTGACTTGGTTGATCATCTTTTTGCCTCCTGCAGTATGTTACTATTCTGATTCTACTCTATCCCTTTCTATTCTTTTTACTGTCATTTCTCCCTATGATCTTCAAATGATGGGCTTTCCTAAGTTTGAGTCTTCAGCCCTCACTCTTCCATCCTTGATCCTTTCTAGTCTCCCTTTATAGGTCTTTTCCACACTCCACAATCAAATCTTGTGGAACACGTAATTCTGAAGTCTGATTCTGTCTTCAGTTCCAAAACCACTGCCAACTAAATATTTCCATTAAGATGTTCTGCCAGTACCTTAAAAAACTTGTAATTCTGGTTCGAATATGTTGACAAAAAGGGCAAAAGCAAAAGGTATGTTTTTATTTTAGTATTTTATTCTTTTAAAAGAAATTCCCCAAATAGATTGTTTTGATAAACCTTTATGGTCTTTTTTATGGATGTTTTTTAAGGTTTGCTTCACATTTGTAAAATATCTGTCTTTTCATATTTTATATCAGTTTGTCATATTTTCACTACTGAAACTAAGCATTTGGATTTTTTATCTTCACTGCCACAGGCACAAAAAATTTTGAATGCTGTAATATGCATGAGGCTTGGGTTTTTTATTATTATTTTTATTGGTAATGTTCAGTCTGTACTTGTGGGCTAGAAGATAAATCTTGTGTTACTTTTCTCTTTGCAGGTCTCTGTGCTTTGAGGAGAGTTCTGAAGAAACAGCCTAACCTTCCTGACAGTAAGGTGGCTAGGTTGGTGAAGATTACTCTGAATGATTTCTTGCAGGGGATGAATGACATCAGGCCCAGTGCTATGAGGGAGGTAGCAATTGATGTCCCAAACGTAAGTCATTTGTACCCCCATGCCAGCCATACTGTTTGAATAAAACTCTGAATGAAACTGAGACTCCAGGGAAACAAACTTCTTAGGCTAAGCTGTAACAACAAAAAAAAATATATTGAAATTTTTATGGAGATAATTGTAGATGAAATACAGCTATAAGAAAGACTACAGAACAGTCCTTTACCCAGTTACCCTTATCCTTTACCCAGTTTCCCCTCATAGTATTATCTTGCAAAACTCTAGTAATATCACAAGTAGGATATTCATGCTGATAGTCATTGTAATTCAGATTTTTTCAGTGTTACTTGTGCTTATTTGTGTGTGTGTGTGTGTGTGTGTGTGTGTGTGTGTGTGTATTTGCATATGTGTATTTAGTTCTATTCAGTTTTATTACATGTGAAGGTTTGTGTATCCATCAGCAGGGTGAAGATACCGTGTAGTTCCATCACCACAGGGATCCCTTGTGTTACTCTTCTATTACCACACCCACTTTGTTCCTGCACCCATTTTTAAAATTCTGTCATTAGAGAAATGTTACATAAGTGGGTTTATACAGTGTGCAGCCACTTGGGATGTTTTTTCATGTAGCATAGTTCCCTGGAGATTCATCCAAGTTGTTAAATGTATCACTATTTTTTTCCTTTCTCTTGCTGAGTAGTATTCCGTGGGATGTTTAACCATTCCATAGTTTAACCACTCACCTGTTGAAGGACATCTGGGCTGTTTCCAGTTTGTTGCTATTGTCAATAAAACCCTTGAACATTGTGTACAGGTACTGTGTGAATGTAAGTTTTCATTTCTCTGGAATAAATGCCCCGGAGTGCAGTTGCTAGATTTTATAGTAAATGTGTGTTTAGTTTTGTAAGAAAATGTCAACTAGGCTAATTTTAGAACAAAAAAGAGAGAACTTGGCTTGACTATAAGGCGAATATCTGGGTAGCTTGAGAAAAGTTTACAGATTGTTCTCTGTCAGTTTAGGAGAGCTCTAATAGAAGAGTGGAATTTTGTGGCTGCTCTTTCCCTTTGTCTCTATAATACTGCCCCCATTTCTTTTTCTCTTTTGAGGTAGTCTTGTTGCTTCTGAGATACTCCTTTGTAAAAACTCCCACATTACAGTTATTTGAAAACAGCCTTGTTGAGAGTCAGTCATAGCTTTATACCCTTTGCCCCACTGTCAGTATTGACAGCTTTCTTGGTCATTAACTAATGTTTTTTTAATTGTAATAAGCTTTAAAAAAAAACTGAACTAAAAGAGACTAAAAAGATATTAAGTCAATGGTGTAGATTATGTGGAGTGATACAGTGAGGATAAATCAGTAGATTTGTTTTCACTTTGAAAAGTAACTGTTCCTTGAAAAACGTGTTTTGTCATCAAGGGGAAATGCTGGTTTAAATAAAATCAATTGTATTTCTTTGCTGCAGGACTTCTCAGAGTCTTTCAGTATGCTGATTTGTATTAGGAAGCATCAAAGAGCTGTTATGGAAATTTATTTGACCATGTACCAGGTGGAGCAGACTTTCTGCATTTTGTAATGTGGTAGATTACAAAAAATGACCTCATACTCTTGCCTTTTTGCACTGCAGCTTTGTGAGTCCTACCTAAAAGAGTGGAACCAAGTTATCCACCCTTTGAATCTGCACTTCACCATGTAGCTTGCTTTGGCCAATAGGTTATTAACAATCATGAATCAAGCAAGCTTGAAAGCACCTGGGGCTTGCTTCTTTTGCTGCTGTTTGAAACTCTGTATTAGGTATGTTAAGAAATCTGTACTAGTTCCTGGAGGATGAAAGACTGTGGAGCAGAAATGAGCCTCCTAGCTGGGATAAACTCAGTCCAGCAACCCTGCCAATTGTGAGGCATGTGACATCATGCTAGACTATCTCACCCCAACTCAAGTTTACTTACGACCTGAAGAAGCAACCAGTTGACCTTGGAATTGTCAGAAATAATTTATGTCTGTTGTTTCGAGCCATTAAATCTGGGGATAGTTAGCAAAAGCTAAGTGATCCAGACACTTGTTAACGCTCATAGAACACAATTGTTTTCTAAGTTTAGGATGGGAAGTAGTGCCCTAGAGATAGGAACATGCTTAATGTGGTTTTGAGTTCTTTTTGAAATATTTAAAAATTCACTGCTGAATTTATGGTTTAAGTTTGGGGTACATGATAATTTAGTATGGGTAATTTGACAAATGGAGTTACCGAATAATTAATGATGTTGGGTTAACAAGCTTTTTATTTCTTTGGAATTTATGGTCTAAAGTTTGGGCACATTGGTCTGAATATTTTTATTTGCAGTATTTATCTGTATTTTATTGGCTATTGTTGAATAATATAATGGTTCAGTGGATGTTGCCTAATCAGCAAATGTCACATGTGAAAATTTTCAGTGATAGGTTTGTAAACCAATTGCACCATCCAGAAAAACACTTTAGTGTTAAAAGTTTAGGACCTGAAAAAACATACAGTAAGGTTTTAAACTCAAAGTTATTGCCAGTGGAGAATGTGTTTTAAACAGTGGCTGTCTACTCTTGGAATTGCTGATCTAATTTATTCATCACAGGAACTGGTACTACAACTGCATTTTTAATTGTTTTAATGAAAGTTTTTTCCTTTGTTTTCTTTTGATACAGTATTACAATCCATGGACTTGTGCCATTTTCCATTTGGCACTTAATTATTTGGCCTAAGGCCATGGCGTACTGTGATGTTACTTATGAACTGCAGAGTGATTAGCCCTGGTCAGGGTACTTTCTTACATTGCTTTTTATGCTCATTTTAGATTATGAAAATTTTCTGGAGAAGTCAACATTTCTATAATTGGGTTCCTAAACTTCAGTCTTCTGCTTTCTGGCTATTAAATCTACAAAAATATCTCCAAATTATTTCTGCATAAGGCCTAGTACTTAATTTTTCTATAGAAAACCTGTTTTAAGTAGCTAGTTGATTGTGAATATTTCTTTAATAGTAAATTGAACATTCAACGTCTTTTGAGAAAAGGTTTTAGTGTGTGAAATTAAAACTTCTAAGTCATACTTGCCTAATTATATTTAAGTTTGAAAGAAATGTCTTAACATGGGAATGTTGCCAATTATAATATAATGCCTTATTAATTTCAGGAGATCACAAATGTTAGCCACTTTACTTAAATGTAATGTTTCCTTTTTCTGGACTCTCTGAATTGGTGATTATAACAATTGGTGTATTGAAATTCAGATGTGTTTTACATTAATTGGTGCTTAAAGTCAAATATATTTCTTTACCATAGGGATCTTTAGAATCTTTGAATATGCTATGTGAAATTTCAATTTTTCAACCAGAGATAACTGTTAATATTTTGTTGTAGTTCCAAAAGATTTTTAAAAATTAACCTTTAATAAAAATTTAAATAAATTAAAATTTTTTTCATAGATTTTTTTTCTATGCATATAGGTGTTTTAATATAGACCATTTTAGGATACACACACACACACATATAGTTTCATATTCTGCCCCTTTCACTTAAAATTATATGGTAGACATTTTTTAATTTCTTGGCAAACATCTTTTTAATGACTTCATACTAGACTACTATGTAGGTAAGCTGTAATTGTTTTGTCTTTCTTCAATTCTTAAATATTTAGTTTTTTTTCTATTTTTCTCTGTTTATAAACATATTTGTGTCCAAATCTTTGTATTGATGATTCTTAGAAATGGAATTACCAGACTAAAATACGTAGTTTTTAAAGCTTGTAACACATATCATCAAGTTTTTTTTCTCAGAAGGTTGTTCTAATTGATAATTATGTGATAAAAATGTAAAATTATCAAGAACATAAATAAAATCTCATTTTATTTTCACTTTAGTACTTTACTTTTTATTTGCCACTAGTTGTTTTCTTGACTGAAAAGATCTTTGTTATGAGGAATAATACCAGGTAATCTTCAGATGAATAGAGGTCTTTAAAAAGAAAATGAAACATAACTATCAATTGTATATTTTCTCCTTCCTGTGAAAGTGTTAAATTTTTAGATGAAGGTGTAGGCTATGACTTTTAAATGTCTTTTAAGTTCAGTAAGAGTAGAGGTTCTTATTTTTAACTTTTATCCTTAGAATTTAGCATATAACTAGCATGTAATAGATGTCCTATTAATATTTGTTGAATGGCTAAGTCAATAATAATTTTCATGAAAAAAATAAGATTAGATGGCTGATTTCAGATATATCTGAGAAAGAGTATCATCATTCTTCTGGACCAAAGTACAGTATAATCTTTTACTGCCTTATATAATATTCTTCATATTTTTCATATTTCACAAAGCAGCTGATTTCTAGTGAATTTTAATCCTCATTTGTTCAGTGAACTTAACATTTGAAATATATTGCACTGTTAAGTGCCTGTTACTGTGTTAAGCTGTATATTCTGGGAGGATGTAGTCTTTTATTTTCTGCAGATGAATCTTGCTTTCTTGACCTATTAAAAGTTGTCATTTTATTAAGGTAAACAAAGAAAAATATAATGCTTTTGTATTTGTATTTATATATTATCCTTGTAATAAGTCATTTTATATACAGCACAGCAATTATCACTGATAAATGGTATTCTTAACAAAATGTATACAAATTGATGGCCATCAAGTTTAATTCATATCTGCATATTAAACCATCATATTAAATAGGCTTTCCCTATTTCATTTTATGTAATTTTAGGTTGTCTCTTACTATTTGGAAATAATTCATCTTTATGCTTCTGATGTTGCTTTTGGATTGAAGTTTTTAGTATTTGGACATTTGGTTCAGAATAAGCTAAAAGCCAATAAAAAGATAAGGCCCTACTTCCATGTGAACCCATTTTTGTGAAGTACACCTAGAGCCTCAGGACTAGCAGGGTAGCACCAGACCCCTTTGTAAGCTTGGATCCAGGTTAAACTTAGAGGTAATTGGCAGTCACACTTGAGTGCATACCAAATATCATTAGTTAAGGAAATACTATATTTACTCCCATTTTAAAAAGAGCAAA